CTTGTCTTTTCAAAAGACCCATCGCGTTGGGCGGCCGATAAGCTGTTCAAACGCCGCAAATCATCGACCCGGTCCGAGTCCGAGCCTGTGAACTCTTCTCTCTTCGAAAGGAAACGAAACGACTCTATGGAGATGCCAGAATTGGCGCGATCAGAAAGTAGGGCCTCAGGGTCACTGAACGGCTCGCTCCAGTCGCCGAGGAGCATATTTGGAAATGGCAGTGGGTTTTCGAGAGCGGGCAACCTAAATCGGTTTGGGTATTCGGAATTGGACATCAAGTTTCAAAGCAAGAAGGATAGAAGGGCATTTCTAGATGTCTGGAAGCAACACGTGAAGCCGTTGGTTGCGGCTTCATGATCCCACGTTACAGAAAGGGAGACATTAGCGGGGTGTACTGTACTATGGAGGAAGAAGAAGAAGCACAGCGCATGATCAGGCTGGCGAGAACGATGGTGTTGGCTGCCAATATAGGTTGATATACGCAAAACACGTTGATACCAATAGCTGGATGGTAATGAGTGAAAGTCTTTCTATAGAGCCTTTTGTAGCAGTTCCGTTAGATGTCACATTATTTTGTTTGTCTATGGGGTACTTGGACAACCTCGTGAGATAAAATGAGTTTGAGTATAGAGGAACAATACTCTACCCGATCTTACCCATGGTGGCTGATAAGAAGACAGGATCTGTAAAGTTCTTTTCGTTGCGCGCTCATCGTACCCAAAACGACGCTTTGCGCTACATTATGCAAGGAGAAAGATTGCGTTTCGGTTTTTCGTCTGTTTTAAATGATGCGGCATTAAAAAGATCGCGACTAGATGAAAAACCTGAAGTTTTTTTTTGTTTAAAGACATCAATACAGACAGTTGTAATTATGTCTCATTTTTCTACTTCTACTCTATATATCTTCGGCATCGATCTAAAGTAGGAACAGCTGGCGACCATCCCGGTAGGAGTGCGCACGATACCTGAACACATTGTTAGTACGGGATAGACCTCGTCATGACCCATACGCTGCATGCGTGTTACGTGTTCACCTCCTTGGCAATCAGAGGCCTAGAATCGCATGTGATTTAGTACACCTGAAGCCATTGCCAGCATTTGGCGTAGTGCCTGTTGGAAACAAGACCTACTCAATGTTGAGGACGAAGGGTTGTAAAGCCAGGGACTGGACCTTGCGTGATGCAGCACAGCTTCGCCACAACTTGATTCATCCGCAACAGGTTTTTACCGCATGTGCGTATACGAAGAGGCGTTTCTGAGGAGGGACACAATCCCTGTTAGGCGAAGCGATGCGTACATGACTAGATATAGGATCAATGCTAGAAAGCCGAACAAGCTAACCATGCGGGACTATGCACATCATGTGGAGAGCGAAAGGTTGGATAGATAAGAAAGAGAGTCTAGTGATAGCATTTGAGAAAAGAAAATGATTATGGACAGTTCAGAAACAACAAAGTAGTACAAGCCTGATAGCATACAATTCTCCACCTCGAAGCAGATCAAGCGCAAGTCGTATTGGCAGCCATCTTGCCAAACTCATCCACGCTCGTAACAGCACCTTGGTCGTCGTATTCGATCCTAACTTGCTGGTTGCTCGAGACAGATGGATCGCCGACGAGGTAGTTAAGTGGCTCGAATCGCATGGCAGAATGCGCAGAGCTAAACATTGTGTTTGGCAAATCGCCAGTATGCGGGAGGTGGTGCATGCCAAGGTTGAACCAGAGTACTCTGTGTCTTGTTAGTAAGGTGTTATATATCATCAGCCGCGATACTGATAAGGAATGGGGTTACGAACAAGTCTTCCTGCTCCAAAGTCTCCTCATCGAAGAAGGATGCAAAATCTACCAAGGGATCATTTTTGTTAAACTGGTTGTTGGCATCCGCAGCCCTCGGCTCCGTCTCCTTTTGCTGAGTAACGTAAAAGTCGTGCGTCACAAAGGCACCCGTCTTGCCAGTGTTTGTCGAGTTAGTTTGTGTGAGATGGATTGTACCGGCAGCTCTCTTGATTCTGTAACCCGGGTATTCGCCGTATGGGTTCGGTGTATCCCTGTTCACAATGGCGTACAATGTGTTATCGTTCTCCGCCCAATTGATCTTGGATTCGCTCTCGCTGGCTACCCATGATCGCTCGGCTTTAAAAGTGTTGTATACTCGACCTTGACTCCAGGGATATGTCGTGGAAGTTGGCACAAATTGCAGTTTCTGCACACTGTTCTTCCTTCCGTTGATATCCAAGTCCACCTTGAATGTGAGGGTGTGGTCGTGTGAGCTACCTGAGAGAAAGTCATGGATGTGGAAGCCGTACTCCGGTTGGCCATCCCAATAGGCAGCCGCAATATATCCAGAAAAGCGAGAGGATACTTCGATGCCTCCGTCGTAGAAGAAGCTGTAGTCGATCATGAAGTCGTAGTTGCCTACTGTGGCTACGGTACGCATGACAAATTGGATATTCTTTGCTACACTGGTGTGTGGTGCGGCTGGTGAGAAAGAGTGGCGGCGGATCGGGTAGCCAGCATCAAACTCAAATATGCATATAGCATCCGCTTGAGTCTTGAGTGTATCGCCTTCGGTCCATGTCGCAGGGAGATATGTCGCATGGCTAGGGCAGTCGTAACCCTTGATAAGAGGTTGTAGTGTCGAGCCCATACCACTTGTAGTGTCGAAGAAGGTTGCTTGCGATTGGAAAGGATCGGTTCCGGAGTAGGACGTCAGAGCTTCTTGCAAAGACAACTCGTAAATGATACGTCGGCCTTTGTATTTGATGTCGAACAGCGAGAGGCCAAGATCCTGGGAGACAGCATGGTAAAACGTAAAGTCCATCCATGATATATATCCCTCCTCAGCATCAATCTTGAATCGCTGGTCTCCTTGAGCGATAGACGCTGGCGGTGGTAGATGGTCCAAGGGCATGGGCGTTCCCTGCCTGTCAGTGGACGTCCAGTTACCCAGCACATTCGGTGGTGGTTTCTGGTAGTCGGGCTTGTTGATTGCGGCACGGAAGTCGTCAGTACTGGCGTAAAACTCTCCTTTCGAGTACCAGCCAACAGCGTTCCAATTGTCCGAATTTTGTCCAGTCAAATCAAACTTTACAGCAAAACCGAGCGGCTCCACTGTAACACTGCTAAGTTTGGTACCTGGATCCGCAAACGCCGCCGCCCAGGAAATTATTCGGCCTTCTTCATCCCAGAAGGGACTACCGAGCCGGAGACCAATGCTACCAGTAAAGAAAGTCTAGACATGTAAGCTTTTGCTGTTACCTAGTGCGTATGTGTTCTAACTTACAGTGTTGAACAGTTGCATTGAGATATCCTCGACCTCTGTTGAGAACCTCGTGAAGAAACTTGATGCTTCATTAGGTGAGTACAAAGGATGCATGGGAGTTCGTCCCGGTTGAGAGTTTTGGAAAGGAAATGTCAACGGTTCAACCGCAGTGGCGTTTGTTGCTGGTAGCGGCCCTACCAAATACTCTTGCCAGTATTTCTCCGTCGAGTTGGTGGTACCGCTTTGAATAGTTGCTCGCGCATAACGCCTTGGTGCGGTAGCATTGTTGTCGAGAAAGGGTAGAGTGTCCGTCTTGTTGGGATGAAGAAGGGAAAGCTGTACGCTGAGATGGTGTTAGTAGGCACAGTGATGTTTTGGATTGCCAGACTCACACAAAGTTATCTCGGCTGGATCCTGTGTTGCCTGTCAAGCTCATTCTCTCCTGTAGAAGCTCATTGACACTAGCAGCTTCTTCTTCCGACAATGCCTTCCATGGGTTCTCGTACGGCGCGCTCACTGTGGGTTGGCGATCGTTTGTCGGCGTATCTTGTGCCGTCGCGAGAGAGGCCAAGACGGCAGCACCAAACGTTAGAGACGATGTCCACTTCATGTTGACTCGGAAAGAAAGTAAACGAGCGTGCAGATACCGAAATGCAGGTCTCTGCGGATTATATGCCCGTCTGTTGGCCCATGCCTATACGGTAGCACAACACCCCTAAGGGGGTTCGTGCAGTCATCACACCATAGCTGGCTCGCGTCCTTAGCGATGAGGAGCTATGCCTCAGACATCGGTTCTGTTGAGCAGGCTGAAGAAACAATATCGCGGTGTTGCTTTGATGCACGCCGTGCGCTAGGAAGGACATGATCGGCGGCACGGTTCTCTTCTGCATATGTGCGAGGGGAATTCAGCTCCACATCCCAGCGACGTGCATCCAAGCGCCTTCGTTACATAATACGGCCGCTCTCACAGATTTCGAGGCAAAAAAGTACAATCGATTGCACTGTATCGACAAAAGAATGTCTTAAGTTAGCAAGAAAGTGTGGTTGTATCATGATTGAAGTGTCACGCACGGTTGGCGACTCAGGGGCGGCGCATCCCTTCCGAAAGCTTGGTACGGCAATGCACCCCGCAAGAAACAATAACAGGCGAAAGTGATCCAGCAAACAAGCTTTTCATAGCTACCTGTCGGTTCCAACATTTGGTCGCCGATGCTACCTACGTGCTTCTGGAACTCTGCAAATAGAACAGCCTGCGTTTCCACGCATTCCCCAACAGCTGAAGATCGCCCCCGTCTTGTCGTTCGCCACGCCATCTACGTACATCGTTTCAAATCGAGACGTCCCATCATTGCCTTCTCTAGTAGCCTGCTTTTCGCTTGCGTTTTCCATTCTACGTTTTGTCGTTGTCACTGCTGCTGCTGATGCTGTTGTTGCTGCGATCCTTGTCCCACTCACACATCCTCTACGCAGGTTTAGGGTCGTTGTTCTTCAAGGTTGGATCTGAGCTTCTAGGACCTTTCCTATCAATACCGCAATTTCTAGAGCTTGAGCTTCCAACTTCATCGCCATGAATGTCTCTGAATTTCATCTCGTTGTCATGGTCATGTATGCCCTCTCATCCTTCGCTACAAACTTTTCTATGGCCAAAGGGACAGTATAAGCAGGATTACGAGCATCAGCTTCGAAAGCCGTATCATGTGCTCTGTGGGCGGCTAAGTATAGTCTTGTAGTCAACTAGACTAGGCCTTCTTCACGACCTGGATCTCAATAGCGTTGGTCATGGAATCCGCGTATAGGATGAGGATGCGTTCTTCTATCTTAGTAGCCTGCAACGCAATCTTTAGGTCGGTCTGGCAGACATTGGGGAGACTATGGACGACTTGCTGCACGGAGCGAATGCACTCTGCTTGGTGAGATACTTCGGCCATAGACTGGATCGCCCGGCCGCGCTCTGCATCGGAGGTGGCCTCGCCCATTTCCTTGAAGAACCGAGCGCGCATTGTCTCACGAGTAGCGTCGTAAGACGGCATTACCGTGTATCAAGGGGTAGTGTGCTGATCTTGGCTTGTGACAACCTGAATAAACAAATATCGGAGAGAATTGGTCGTGGTGGCAGTCGGTACGAGGGTGGCGTCCAATTGGATCGCAGGATTGACAGAGGCAAGGCGGTATTAGCGAGGGAGCAAACAAATTCACCGCTCTACTTGCTTGTGCATGAGAGAAGGACTAAGACATATGACGCTCGCAGGTTAACAGCTTCTCTTGCTTCCTGTATTCTTCCGATGTCCGGCACTACAAGCAGGAATGCTATGATAGTCAATACGTTAATTCCACGTTCCTATTAAGCGAATACAGTTTACATCTTGTGTAGATGACCTTCCTGTCCTACTTGGCCGCCACTTTCTCATTGCATCTCTCGGAGCCGCACTTGCGTTCGGGCAATCTCTAGCCTGCAATGCTTTTGCCAAATGGCCACTCACGCATTCGCAGGGGGTCCATCGCCTGCGTATAGGTACAACGTGCATAGTACCCCAGTATACAAGTCCTGCTTGCTGATTCCTCTTAATCAGTTGAACGGGGAATATATTACTATTAGAACAATTACGTACGTTTTCCAGCGGAAAGACCCAATCATGGTAGAAGTTAATGAGTTGTTCTGGTGCGATAGTTGGAGAGCGGCGTCACACCAGAGATATTCGATACATGGCCAGAGCATTCGTAAAACTACAGCTAGAGCTGTCATGTGCAATCTTTTGTACGACAAGCTGGCTTGTTTCACGTTCAGTAGCCATTTTTTGTTCTTCACTTCGAGGTCATGATCGCCACACCGCTCGACTTGTCAAAGAACGATCGCATACTCAGGAAAGATAGCAGCAGTGACATGTCTAACGTATATCGAATGTCAGTCTACAAACAGCGACCGCAGCCAATCTCTTGAGCGTGATCCAAGGCATCCGATATGAGCGCAAGTTGAGTTCAACACCGGCAGTCCAAGCATCTATGTCTAGAACATAATCAGCGGCATCAACGATCCACGATTGTTCCGATGCTTAGACATTGGGCTGGATCAAAAACGTCTGGAACTCATTTGTGTGTCCCTTCCCATGTACGTCAACTGGTCCGACCATGAAGCCAACTCATGCATACCTGTTGCAAAGTACAATTTGCGTAATAACTTTGACAGCCTCTCTATCTCACGCGACACATAATAAAACTCCGGGCCATGTTGATCGAAACCGTGCTTGTAGCAGTGATGGATACATTCGTATGCCTCCAGGACGTGGTCGAAATATGGTGGTGCTAGCATTCTCAGCTCAAAGAGGCCCTCTTCCAGACTCGGCTACACATTGTTAGGCGTGCGTAATCAGAAAAGGCTAGACGGGTAGCATGTAGCGTACAATGTTGTCATGAGTAACACAAAACTCGCAGAAGGTCCATGCTGCGAGCTCTGAGAACGCCCACCATGGAGCTTGCAGCCTTCGAGACGATCGAGGATTGGTACAGCGCGCATGTGAATCTAAGAAATCAAAGTCATTCGACCACCACGGGTATGTCTGATATGGCATTTCGTGTTCTCTTTGTTGGCAATGCCCAGCAAACCACGCTGTGAAATGATGAAAAGGCAGTGCGAAGACAGCGGTGAAGTAGAAGAGGTGACTATGATATGGCTACTGTGTGCGAAGGTCCTTATACTGCTGGCCATTGTGCTTGCTCACGTCGCACGCTTAATACCAGCCCTGCTTCTTGCACCACCACAAGGATTGGCAGAACGAAAAGGCAACCCAATTGTACCACGCAAACGAAGTGGCAGTGGTGAGACAGTAGTCATGCTCTGCACGTCAGTCCAGGATCAGTAGATGTGGACCAGGCGTTGAAGAGTGACATGATCTCGGTGGAGAGTTGTTATGAGGCGCAGGGGTTTCGCAGCAAACAGCTCGACAAGCCCGAGGTTCGCGTGACATATTCACCGCTGACTGAGTGATGCTGGGCCATGTTGGTAAGATATGTGGGAGGCGGAGAAAGGCGCGTGACAAGATGGGTTAGAAGACTTTTGGGGCGGGACGCGCACCGACCACCACTTTACGCGTCGCGCGTGCTTCGTGTGCCGCTCAGCTCCTTCCATGATTGACGCTCTCACAGTCTCGGCAACTGCAACGCACCCCTCGCACCTTCCCACAGCATACCCAAGATGGCCTCTACCGTTCTCGGCAAGAGGACTCGCAGCTCTGCACGCATAGAAGCTTCAGGTACGAGCCACAGCGGCTCTGGTCGCGGTTCCTCGGACAACACGTCCCTAACGCGCTCTACAGAGTCAAAATTAAACATCGCAACGCGCGCAAAGCGGAGGACTCAGTTCGTTATACACGACGAAGGGGAGATTGAGAATCCCTTCGTCACTCCAAAGAAGCAAAATGTGCGCGACGAGGATGCAATGGACGTGGATGAGCCCGAGGAGAAGGCGTCGATAAAACGCGGAAGGAAGACAGGCACAACTCCCGCAAAGTATGCCTCACAATGTACAAGACTCCCCGTTTCAGCAGCCAAGGAGAACTCCCCGCAGAAGGCGCTCGTGGACATCCCAGAAAACTTTGCGCCTACTCCTTCGACACCGAGACATCGCGACGCGCTTGCCGGCAAAGTTGCCGTCACACCCAGGCACCGACTCATCATTGCCGGTCGACCTTTGACACCGCGCACACCACACACCCCAGGCACTCCACGAAACACAGGGCCGACAATCTACAATGAAGCGCGTCAGGTATTTGCAAGAGGCTCTGCCCCAACTGCATTGTTTGGTCGCGAAAATGAAAGGAAGGAACTCGACACGTTCATCACAACACGAACTAAGACGAAGACATCGGGCTGCATATACGTCTCCGGTCCGCCAGGCACCGGCAAGAGCGCTTTCGTCAACGATGTCTGTCGTACAGTCTCATCGGATGAAGCCGTTAGGACCGGATACATCAATTGTATGAGCGTCAAGAACGCCACAGATCTCTACAGAACCCTTTTAGAGGAATTCGTCGACATCACTGAGATCGCAGAGGGCGACGAGATGGATGCGCTTAGGACTGTTTTCATGCAACGGAAGACATCTTACGTCGTTACGCTCGATGAAGTGGACCACCTGCTGGACTTGGACATTGAGCTCTTCTACAACATCTTTGAGTGGTCGTTACAGAAAGAATCGGGCCTTGTGCTAGTTGGCATTGCGAACGCGCTGGATCTCACAGATCGATTCCTCCCGAGACTCAAGGCTCGCGGTCTCAAGCCGCAACTACTGCCGTTCCTCCCATACAACGCCACACAAATATCCTCTGTTATTACCTCAAAGCTGAAGGCCCTTCTCCCAGCAGGCTCAACCCAACTACCATTCATCCACCCAACCGCCATCATATTCCTCTCCAAGAAAGTAGCCGCCCAATCCGGCGACCTACGCAAAGCCTTCGACATCTGCCGGCGGGCAATCGACCTCATCGAAGCCGACACGCGCGACCAACACTTGAAAAAAGCCACAGAAATCACGCCATCACCCACGCCCTCGCCCTCGAAAACCCCTCTAGTTGAAAAAGTCAACCTCTCCTGCTCAGCCGTGCGCTCACCCACCAAAACCAAAGACCTGAACAGCATCATCGCCGCCTCCCTGGGCTCCCTCACTGTCGAAACCGCACCCCGCGCCACCATTGCCCACATGGCCAAGATCACAGCAGCAGTGTTCAGCAACGGCACAAGTCAGCGTCTGCGAAACCTGAACCTCCAACAAAAAGCCGTCCTCTGCTCGCTCTCCGCCATTGAAAAAAGGAAGCGTGCCACCGCTGCCGACAGCATTCTAGCCACACCGTCAAGATCCCACACTACATCTCCTACCATCAAAGAACTTTTTGAAGCCTACACCGCGCTGTGTAAGCGAGAGAACATTCTACATCCTCTTACGAGCACTGAGTTCAGAGATATCGTAGGCAGTTTGGAGACACTGTCGCTTGTTTCTGCGGTGGAGGGTAAAGCTGGGTCGCTGGATGTTGGCGCTGGCACGCCTAGTCGCAGGGGGAGGGGTAAAGCTTTTCCTGGGGTTGTTGTCGAGGATCGCAGGGTTGCTAGCGTTGTTGGAGAGAAAGAGTTGGCGGATTCACTCGTGGGGCCTGGAGCTGGCATCCTCAAGGGCATCCTGGAGGGAAACTGAAAAGACGCTGTTGTTGTGCTTTTGGGTCCGGTCGCATGGAATGGGGCTTGATTACGGATCATATTGTGACATCCTCGATTGAGGCTCTGTGTTTGTCTACTTGTTTTGCGAAGCGTGGCGCCAAAGTTCTTGCGCATGCATCATCGCTCGTGTTATGAGCAATAGTCTTTTAGCGTAGCATAGCCGGCTTCTTTCAGGGGCATAACAGCTGTACACCAGAAATGCAGTACGATTTCAACATGATGCACTTCCATATGACAGTGATTCCCAAGATTCATCAATGGGTTAAAGACCGAACTTTTGTGCTTTTGCATCTTTTCATGTCTCAGAGGTTATGGTATCATTCATCTTCATCCCATCCATGCAGATCCTTGTATTCCAGTCTTCAAGACACAGGTCCTCAGACCTTGACGCCCCCTCCTTCCACGGCGTCCTCTTTGCTCACCTGGCTCTCTCCTTGTTCATCCGCTACACCTTCCCCACCCTCCTCCTCCTCCTCCTTATCCTGCCTCAACGTACTTGTCGGCACCTCACTCTCCATGCCCGCCTTGCGAAACACAGCCTGCATCCAACACCTATACATTTTCAACCTCCTCTGCCTATTCACCAGCATACGTCTATCAACGCCAATGTGCGCAACCTCAAAACCCGGTCTGGGGGTCTCGGGATCATTAACGTCATCATGACTCTGCTCTCTCGTCTGCGAATCCGGATCATGAAGTGACAGACTCTCAATCTTATCCGCGATGACGCCCTCAGCCTCTGTCTGGGATATTGTTGTATCCGCCACATTGCCAACCGTCGTATCGCGTTTCCTGGCTGCTCCACCCCAAATGTCCTCGAGCTCAGACTGCTCGAAGAAGTAGACTCGCGTGCCGTCGCCGCGGACGTAGAAGTTTTCTTCCATGTACCGGCCTTTTTTGAAGCGGACCTGAGCTAGATCGCCGCGTCCGTAGTCGCGGAACAGGACCTGGCCGCCTGGCTTGAGGACCCTCCAGATATTGCGGACGGCTTGGTCCCATTGCTTGGGATTTAGGGCACTGAAGATGAATATCATGAGTACGACATCCACGCTGCCTTCTGTGAGCCCTGGAGGGAGACCGCCGTTTTCAGAGTCGGGCGATGCGGCTACGTCCCATACGTCGGCTTGTATGCGTTCCGGGTCGTAGAGTTCGTGGTTACGTATAAGCTCGACTGCCTTTTTGGAGAAATCGCATGCGTGTATCTTCAGCCTCTTGTTTTGGCTCCTCTGCAAGATGGGAAACGCACTGTTGCCCGCTCCAGCGCCAACTTCCAACAAGGTAGCCTCGGGTCCGTCTTCTGCACCCAGTTCCTCTAGTATCGGGAATTCCTGCGCCAGCCATTTGCGGTTCTTGAAGAAATTTGTCTTGTTGTTCTTGTAGAATTGGTTCCACCATTTCTCGGGCTGGTCGTTGTAACGTTTGCGATCAAACTCGGAGACGGGCTCTTGCCGTTGTTTGGAATATTGTTCTTCGGAGAAGGCAAGGTAGTTGGAGTCGACGGTTACGTGGTCCCAGGCATTGAATTCGAAGATGTTGTCGCCTTCCTCGAGGTAGCGCGAGCCGAATGCGAAAGGATCACTGCGCTTTTGGTTGTTGCCAGGGTCGTGGGAGCGAGAGGGTGGTGCGCGGACAGGCTGTAGAGAAGCAGGTACTCCGTAAGCGTCGTTCTCGGGGCCTTGTTGCGTGGGTGGAGATGCGGCATCGGAGGCTTCTGGCGGTGGCGTGGAAGTCGAAGTATGCGGTATAGGATCGACTGTGACTGCGAAGCGCATATGTTCCATTGCTTTGGATAATTGCTGTTTAGGCTGTGGCTTTCTTGACATGGTGTTGTCCGTCTGGAATCTCGAGTCGCCACTATCCTGAGGACTTGGGCCGTTCATGGCGTCTGTGTTTGCGCTTTCTATGGCATCCATTTTCGCAGCCGTGGCCAACTTTTGTTAGAGTCGCGTACGCGGGGCATGGGGATAATTCATGGAGGGGAAATTTCAGCCGCTAATGTCGAGAGGGGTTTAGCGGCCGCGGTCCCTGACAGCGTCATTGCAGAGCCGCATCTCCTAGCGGCGCGAATCCACACTCAACTGAAGGTTGATGCGCTCATCGATTCCAGGCATTCGGAAAACCTTGGGTATCATGTCGAGGTGACACTCTCAATACAACCTCCGCTGTCCACTGCTCTAGATTCACAATGGCATCCTTGCGATCCGCTCGCCCATCGGTGCACCGCTATACGCGTCTTCCCCAGCGCCTCCCCCAACGGCGAACTTTCCTCCCCAACCCTTTCGAAGCACTAAACTCCGCTCTCCCATCCTCGTCCTCGCCACCTCAAATCCTGACCGCCGTACGGACTCTCCCTTACCCCTCGGACCCCGTCTACTCCATCATAGCCGACGTACCCAACTACCAAAACTTCCTGCCCTACTGCCAACGCAGCGACATAACGAAGTGGTCGGCACCAGATAAAGTTCATGGCCGGCGGTGGCCATCAGAAGGCATCTTGACGAGCGGCTTTGGTGGCATAACCGAGAGTTTCGTGAGTAGGGTGTATTGCATACCGGGACGCTATGTGGAAAGTGTAGGCGGGAACACGGAAACGAGCTTGAAGATTGACGATATCGCCCATCACTTAGATGGGGAGAAGCAGGGAACAGAGAGGAAACAAGGCGAAAATGGTTTGCTTACCCATCTACGGAGCACGTGGACTGTCGAGTCTATCCAGAACGACCAGACACAGGTTAGTTTGGCGGTAGAGTTTGCTTTTGCAAATCCCATGTACGCGGCCTTGAGTGGGGGCGTCGCGCCCAAGGTGGCAGAATTCATGATCAAGGCTTTCGAAAAGAGGGTGCAAGAGCTGTTGAACAACAACCCGGACATGGTAAAGGCGAGTTTAGCGGAGCTGGATGGCAGTCGATTGAAGAGGTAGCACATGGTCTTCATCAGAGGGCTACAGCAAATCCAAACGAATGGACAAACAATCATGTTCGGTCTTTGTGTGCATCAATCGCAATAACATTCTTCGTCCACTACTTCATGCTCTCGAAATACTTCTTAAATCGCGGCTCGCGCTCCAGATCACATCGCAACACCGCGTCATAACAGCTCATCAGCAGCTGCGGGAACTTGACCGTCCAATATCTCAGATAGCCACTCGGCAATGGCCCCACCTTGGCCTTGATTGCATCCTCCATATCCTCGTAGTGGTTTTTCTTGTTCCTGAGCGCTCTCAACAGGTCCAGCATCTTATCGCCCGTATACTTGCGCTGTTTTCCGAGCGAGTTGATGAAACTCTGGTCAAGTTTGGCGAGGAAGTTGCGTCTATGATCCAATACGTCTTCCGAATATTCTTCCAGCACTGCCAGGTGTTCCGATGGTGGGTCTCTGGGTTCACGTTCCCAATGATCCGAGCAGTCGCACAGGAAATCAAGGCGTTTCTGATCGTCCCAGAAAAAGGGATGGTTCATGACTTGCAAGGCGTTGGGGCGGTCTTCGGGCCTGGGTCGCAGCATCCAATGGATGAGACGATGGGGCTCTACGGAATCGGCACCAAGAAGCAGGCGATCGAGATTGGACTTCTCTTTTTTGATGTTGTATTCGCGAATCTGCATCCAGCCTTCTTCGTCATCGAAAGGATGGCAGCCACCGGTGAGGACGTAGTAGAAAACGCAGCCCAGAGAAAATATGTCAACGGCTCGCTTGACGCCTTGCGCGACCGGGTCTGTGGAGCTTGATGAATCGCGAGAGAAGCCTTGGGAGCTGCCATTGGCCAACTCCTTCGGTTGCGAGATAAGCTCAGGCGCTTTCCAGCCAACCGTGCCTGCATTGCCAGTCGTTCCGACAAGGGTACTGACGTTGTCAGGCAGCGTCTTACAGAGTCCGAAATCAGATATCACTAGCCGTACATCGTCCTTGGAGGTGATTAACGGCTGTGCAATCAGTATGTTCTGGGGTTTGATGTCGCGGTGGATGATGCGAAGATGGTGAAGGTGATTCAATCCAGCAGCGAGTTGGTACAGACAACCTGCAGCTTTCCCGCTGATCTTGTTCACCAACTGCTGGTGGCTTTCAGAAAGTTCCTCTCCTGGACGACCGTCCTTGTAAAGGTCAAACAGACTAGCTTGGCAGAGTTCGACGGCGATATATAAGAAGTTCTCATCCCTCTCATCGTCAAAGTATCGAATAACGTTCGGGTGCGGGTCGCTGTTCTGTAATAGTTTCACCTCTTGCTCTGCGAGTCCGAAGTACTGTGGTAACATGCGTTTGACAGCCACCTTGACTTCCTGCAAAGAGAATTAGTATGAGATACTCATCGAGAATGCGTGGAAACCGTCATTGCTGGACGGCCGACATGCTCAATCGTAACAGATTGACTTGTTCAACATACCTTCCATTTACCCTCAAAGACAAACGTTCCTCCACTTCCGTTGCCAAGAAGACGATCTTGGTCGATCGTCAACTTGCCGATCCGTTTGATCTCGGAGACATTCTGTACATCGCCACCACTCACAGTAAGTTCATCGGGTTGCAGGCGAGGCCCAACCTCGAGTTGCTTAGCTGCGTCCACGATGCGATTTACCTCGTCTTCTTCTTTTTGTTGATTCTTGCTGAGCTTGCGTCCACCACGTCTACCCCGATGTGCTTTCTTCTTCTTAGGAGTCGCGGGCGCGGCGGATGGGTCCTGCGAAATGTCGTCGATACTGCTAGTCATGGGTTGAGCATCCGCGTTGAGTGTGGAACCAGTTAGGGTAGATTCGTCTTCACTAGGAGAGCCACGTTCAACCGTCGTGGTTCTAGAGAGAGGTGAAAGATCTTCATCTTCGTCATCGGGGACGTTGAAAGTCACTTTCTTCTCCTTGACTTCCTCAGCAACAGGGGCGACGATATCAGCCTCTACTACACTTTCTACATTTGGCTTCTCAGGGACGACGTCCCCGCTAACAGGCACTGTTAGAGTCTCCTGTTTTACGGGTTGATCGATTTCCAGCTCGGTAGAGGCAGACAGTGGAGTCGGTGACAGAGTGGCCTTGGCTGGATGCAAAAGTCTGTTGAGGTAGCTCAAGGAGGACTGTCGTACTGTTGGTTTCACAGTAGCTCCCAAAACGACAACGGCAATCATAAAGGAAACAAAGAGTGTGATGGATGCTTTTGCCGTCTGCGTTTGAGGCGGCCCTTCAATCGTTTGCTGTTGAGGGTTTTCATGAGGTGATGTCACAGGCGGATTAGACACGACTTGACCGTTCAAGGTTGGAGAGTAAGTCGTGGCGGCGATGCCTGGCAGTTGTGCCTGCTGGCTGGGGATCCTGTAGTCCAGCCTGTGGACACCAATAAGGCTTCTCCTATCCGGCAACACGTAGGCTGAGTCCCAGTCGTATGATACCTGGTTCTGCTTGTAGCAAGCTGCGTCGGGTGCGCCGTCGGTGACTGCGGGGTAATTGACTTCTGAAAGAGCATACCAAGCCCCCGATTCGGTCGTGTTGAGCAGGACGTGGTTGGCTTTGTCATCCGAGAAGATGGGGCCGGCTGGTTGTGGGAGCAAAACGAGGGGCGGCTCGTTTGACTGATCGTTTAGGGGCCGAGCGACGTCAAAGACACGTGCTACCGGGTAAGGCAGACGTTGTCTGTAGAGGGGACGCTGGTGCGATCTCGGTCGCTTGTAGTCAAAGGCAATGACTTCGCCGTTGTACATGGTATAAATGTACTGCTTGTCCAGGGTCTGATCGTACTGGGACTGCAAATCCTTGTCTCTGCTGTTTGGGTTCCACTCTGCATATTTGAGCGTGCATATATGCTCGTTGGTCTTCTTGTTGTGGATGGTGATGGTGTACTGGGTCTGGCCGATGTCGATGATGCCACGGCAATCGCGTTCCCGAGTGCTGAAGAAGTTCTTGGAGTCGGGAGCGCAGCTATCGTCGTAGGGGAAGTTGCCGCCCGGAGTGAAGCTCTGCTTGACAATGCCTGAGGCGGCATCGACGAGAAGCATGAATGTCTTCTTCTCGACGTTGTAGACGACGGGGAGTTCCGGGTCATCGCTGGAGTAGGGTGCACTTTCGGCGAGTTGCTTGACCGTGACACCCAGGTGCTGTAGCTGGGGGTTGGGGCCTGGAGTGAGGAGATAGAGAGCTCCGTCCTCTTTAGGCTCGACGACCCACACAAAGGGCTGGTGGTGGGGGCTGGTCTTGTCTTCGGAGACGTTGTAGATGGTCTCCAACATGGGCCTTCCGCTCAGCTCCCAGATCTCCTCTCCATTGTATCGGTCGCGTGCGTGGATATGGCCATCGACGGTCGCCAAGAGAACAAAGTCCTCAACTTCCCAATCCTGCAGAGAACGCGCACTGGGGATGAGGCCTCCCGAGGCAGCGTATCTGGCAGGATGGGCTCTGACAGCACTGATGGCTGGAGCAGAAGGAACTTTGGTAGCTACGGCGCGCACATTCTGGTCGTTCAAGGGCGTGTAGGCATGACGTCTGTGGGCGTCCCCTACAGTGTCTTTGAGGCTGGGGTGTCCGTGGTGGGGTTTGATTGTGTTTGCGTGCTGCACGTGCACCTCGGCATGGGGAGACGTGTTGCCGACATGGTGGTCGAGTGGTTGCTGCTGCTGAGCTGCCACAAGCGTGATGATGAGAAGGGCGAGCGTGGTGAGCGTCGAGCCAGCACCGGGCGGCCGGCGCGGACGCGGCATGGCGGATCGGTCGTACGTCTATGAGTGGGAAGCCTAGGGAAGGCGGCGAGAGCGGGGGTGATGGAGCATCAGTGGAAGGTGATGAGGTTTGGGCGGAAGAAGAAGAAGGTCTGTGGCAGCAGTGATTTTGGCCTCGATATTAACCTGCGGGGGCTGCTGCAACTGTCTGGGCGTGCGCCGCAAACTGGGGGTCTCGCCGGGGCCTCGTCAGCCAGCCCGTCCACTAAACTCCTTGTCGAC